TCTCAGGGGCAGCCGTTGCGGCGGCGCAAGCTGGTGGCGCTTGAAGCGCTTCGTTGCAGGCAGGCCTTGCTTCTGGTAAGGTATTTGGGTTCATTGGCCCCGTTACCCTGTCAGCAACAATTTTTGCACTGTTTGCTTACAGTACTTGGTTTGCCTTTTTGTTTGGCTGTTGTTGTTTTTGGGGTGTAGACACGGGAAAAATCTGCTATACAGACTAATCCGTAGCGCTATATATAGACTTCTTTCGATTTTTCAGAATCTACATCTCACAAGAAGCTAAATACTGACATCCATGCTTTGAAGCGGAGGCAGTAGTTTTTTTTTTGGTCGTGGTGGTAACAATAGGAGTAGTAGAGGTAGCATCTAGTGCTCCAAGCAACTGCTTGAAGGGGTTGCAGGAGTATGGAACACATTCAGTTGAACCTAATCCTGAGACCTGGAACAGACGCAGTACACTGTAGCAACAAATTGTTGTTTTTCATGTTTGTAGGTCACCATCGCCGGTGGAGAAAGCTTCGAAGGTGCGGAAGAAGTGGGGTGGGAACGTTGAGGTTTGTCTAAATGGAAGTGGCCAAAGAAGTTTGGAGGAACCGGCAAACGGCTGAATGGACGTGAATTTCAGATGTCTTGCCTTAACCTGATCAAAGCTACAAGAACCAAGCGCCTTTATGATGCCCAATGTCACAAAGACCAAGAAGTCAAGATTTGAGAGGTGGCCACCCGCATTTCTGTGACAGCAGCCCATCTCCAAATATTGCGCAGCCACGCGGCGGGCCTCAGTTGCTTTTTTCACATGTGAGGTCAAGGTAAGCGTCGTCAAGCACTTCGTGTATGCTTTATGAGTTTGTAGCGGCTCAAGCCATTGAAGTCCAAGACAAGCCAAGTCATCCGGCCATGGGTCGACGGGTTCTTGTTGTGGTCCTCCCTCCCGTGGCTGTGGCAGATCTTAGCATTCCCTGGCAAGAAGGCTGTGCTTTGCGGGAAGGTTTCGACCTGACCAGCAGCTGCGGCAAGCCAGCTGCGCTGGAACTCATCCAAGACTGTGAAACGCAGCAAGAGACAGCTTGCGTGAAGAAGATGTCCCGCAACGAGGTTCTGTTGAGCGCCTCAAGCAGAATCGAGTCGTTCCAGCAACTTAGCACCTTGCTGGAGAAAACCTCGAGCTTTTCAGGCGGTGGCTGGGGAAAGACAGCTTCAGCAACGGCGCAGATGATCCAGCACAGTGCGTCCAGTGACTATTCGATGAGTTTCCTGTCTCTCATGTTTGGCCTGGCAAGTGAGGAGACAATCGAACACACCCAAAAATTAAGGCTCACATCCCCAGCGCGGGAGAAATTGAAATCGGACCCTCGAGAGTTCTTAGAGCTCTATGGTTCCAGATTTGTGAGTTCCATCCTCTTTGGCTTTGAATTTGGTGGAGCGGCTTCCTTAACGGCAAGGAGCCACACAGGCAGCAAAAGCCTAGAGGCCTTTGCCAGCTTCCAGAGTGAGGGTATCTTCAGCGGCTCTGCATCGGCATCATTCCTGAGCGAGTATAGGAAGCACGAGACCACTCTGTCGCTCGCGTGTGATGCACGCTTCTCAGGAGGCAGGGATGTTCCGATTGGACCCTACCAGACGCCTCAGGATCTGGTACAGGCAATGGGGCAGTGGAACCAAACACGGACCATATCCCCAGTGAGGGTGATGATGATCACCAACGGGTGGATGGTGTTGGAGGAAGTGCAGCAGATCCTCAGCAATGCCACTCCCGAAGTGTTGGAACTCTTCACCACAGACAATGTGGCAAGTACGGCATTGCAGCGGATTTCCAAAGAATATGCCGAGCTGAAGTACTTGCAACAGAGTGCACTTGTTGCTCTTGATTGGCCCCGTGTCCAACATGACAGGTCGCTGGAGCTTCGCAAGGAGCTTGATGGAGTCCGCGATCAATTAGACACGCGCCTCACACAAATGGAGACCTTCAATGAGGCAGACTTCCGCACGCGGGAGTCTGAGATTCACCAGGGAGACTATTCCTGGTTCAAAGCCAGGAGCTTCAAAGATCAGCTTGATGCTTTAATGAGGAAGTTGCCTGAATGTGTTGAGGATGCTGAGTGTCGATCTGAGACCCAGCTTTGCGCGCAAGAGTCTGTTTGCGTGGAAGGAGAGTGGGAGACTTTGTGGGTTCGCAAGTCCAAAACCTTGGCGAATGGCAGATCTTCTACCGACTCCCACACTTTCCTCACTGTTGCTCCTGCTGAGCACAAAGATTGGAAGCAGCCCCTGGAGTCAATGAAGGCAAAGTGTGTGGAAAATGCAGGATGTGTTGCCTTTTGCAACAACCCTGATGATTGGAGCTTCTTCTACAGTATCACCAACCAGGGTGAGCAGAACCGGGGCCAACATGGTCAGGGGTGGTCGTGCTTCGTCAAGCCATCCCACTCATGGCGGCCCTTGCAACACAGTGTCACCTCCTACTTGGCAAACCCACCGGCAGCTCAACCGCCCCAGTGGAAGATCACCTTGGAAGCTGCCAAGGACTTGTGCAAGGAGAAGCAGTGCAAGGCGCTGGAACCCTGCTGACTGGACCCACCTCTATCCAACGAAGCCAGGGTCCACGCAACACGTGGGTTGGTATGGCAAGGGCTGGCAATGTTTTGAACGAGTGTGAGTGGCATAAGCCATGTGCTCAGTGTTTGGCATGTAAAGGCTAAGTCTAGCGCACGTTTCAACGCCCGTTTCAGATTTCAGTGAGTTCAGGTCACAAGCACCTTCATCTGCAGCACTGCCCTTGTCACCGAATCGTGTTCAATGGTTCGCTGATCTGTGGCAGTAAGGACAGCTGGCCATAGCTGGCCGATGATGGTCGTGCTGAAACAGTCGATGTTGAACGCCAATCTGCAGAGTAGCACGGTTGTGCACAGCTTGATTAGGGTCTCCAAGTCTCAGATAGGTTTTTGCAATGAAATAAAAACAGCCGACAAGTTTTGTGGGGCACTTCTAGGAGGCTTTGCCTTGTGTGCGTTTTGAGGTGTCAAGCCGGCTGCGTATCTTGTCGTCAAGCATGTCAAGCATGGTTTCTTTGAGGCCAGTATGTGACAATGGTCTGAATGAGAGTTTGAAGCATGGATACCTGGATCGCATCATGTCCTTTCAATGCGGAAGCAAAGGAGCAAGAAAGCGCTTTGTAGAGTGGATTCTGGAACATGCATTGAGTAGGTCCTCACTCAGGTGGCCTTGAACCTCATGAGGGTTGGACTTTTAAGAGCTGAATGCAGGCTTGGAGGCTCGTGGGGAAACCGAGAGCACTTGCATCTTAGACAGTCAAGACCTTTGGCAATAATGTCAAGTCCTGGATCCTTAAATCGAATGTGGTCAAATGCTCTTTCAATCGCATGACAACCTGGTTTGTTCAGTTGTGACCTCATTCACTTGGAAACCATATCTAGTGTTTTGCCTGTATTGACTTTCCTATCCTTTTCGTACTCCTTTTCGTTAAAATCTCTCACCGAGCAGAAGCCCTCCTCCTCATTCATTCTGACTAACGACTAAGACCTTTTTCTTTCTAATACGTCGTCGTTAAAGTGAACGCAACGGACCGTCCAGTGATTGCAAGTGCATCGAAGAATCATCGCGACCGCTCTCACGTGTGGCCTGTCGAGCATCACAAAACCACATCAATACCACCCGCATCTTCGACAAACGCGTCTAAAATAACAAGTAATAACAGCCAAGTCTGCTGTAAACGTTGACTATATCAAATTCCTAGCATTTGCAAGAACTCCAGAGGTCTTGCCTTCCCCCAAAAGATGTGCCTTTGTCGCACTTCCATGGAAACCTCCTGGATTTGCTCAAACGAGCTTTGGAGATGTGGTCAAAGGTACTGAGTTTGCACTGTGTTTTTTTTTTTTGAAGACTGGAGAGACTGGTCGACTTGAGACGCATGTGAGTGTTGCAGAGGCCATGCCAGAGAGGCCGAGAGGCCGTGCGACAAGAAAGAACAGCCAAGTCAGTGAGCTGCTGAGAGAACTGTTTTTGTTTTTTTGAAGGGACATCGCTGTAGACTTAGGATGGTCAAGCCGTGGAAGGCATCGCTAGGTATTGGAAATGGTCAGTTTCATCTCTGTGCTTGACCGACCTAGCCGTGTTTTTGGCTTGTTAGCTTGTCACGCCAAATTCCCCTGGTCATTGTTCAATTGGTCATGTTGGTGCTGGGCCTCTTGTGCTTTGGCTTGGCCTTTGGATCCACGCCTGAAGTTGAAGTTCTCTTCGGGAGCAAAGGTCCCTCGATCAGCCTTCCAGATGGTCGCCGTTTGGGAACAACTTGGCATCCAGATGCTGATCCAGAGTTTGTCGCAATCTTTATGGCAACAGTCCCATGCAAGTCATTCCTATTCCACACCGTATCCTCGGGCAAAAACATTTGTTTCCTCCTTCCAAACGTGGGGGACAGGAGCCACATGCTGTCGAAGGTGGGGAAAGGAAGGCAAGCTCGATCCTCCTGCCGACCAGGCACACTCTTCCTTCGCCATGATCAAATGGTGGTGCTCACATATGGGCCTACTCAAGACCATCAATCCTACATGCCACCCATCCTGACTGTGGATACCGAGGACTTGCCTGCATTGGAGGCTTTCGGTGAGGAGGTTTGGACGGAGCAGTTGCGAGGCGAAAGCAAAACACCTTTCACGCTTGCTTTTACCGTCGGCAAGAGCACTGTGGTTGGAGGACCACTTTTCAAAGATGAACTCACAGGCAACCAAGCAGTTGACGATGCAGTGGCTGCCATTAGATCTCAGACGACTCGCCACTGGTTGGTGCCGCCGGAGGAAGTGTTTGTCCTGCTAAGCAAAGGACATCCGGAAGAGGGGACTGCAGGTCAGAAGTTCCCACCAATGACAATCTTTGGCGGAGTTTTGATGACTTTGACATCCTATGCGCACAGCGGCAGTTTGAACGCTGCTGCATCATTGTTCGCTGAGGGCCCGGATGGGGTTGCGCAGGCCGACCTGAAGATCATCAAGCGACTCGTCAACAAGATTGGGGACGCCAACCTTCCTTACCTTCGAGCCTTGAGCCTTCACACTGTTTGTGAGTCTTTTGAACAGTTCTTCAGGGCCTTGGACCAATCTGAAACAGTTCTCCAAGTTCAAAAGCTGATGCAAGCCATCTCTCTGTTTGGTGCACTGATGCACGGGTGGGTGGTCTATCTCTTCCCATACCGGCTTGGTGTTGGACTCCATGTGCCTGAGATGTTCGAACCATCCAGCCATCCATCGTCTAATGTGCCACTTCGTTCTTGAGAAGGGCAGGGACTTGGAGCGGCCACCTTTCACGTCAGGAGCTCAAAGGAGCGAGAGGAGATGGCCAAAAACATGCATTTGCCAGAGAGCTTGCAGAGCAAAATGATAGTCTTCCGCACATTCTTCGCTTGAATGCTGCTCAGTCGGTCTCATTGACCGAATTAACAGTGGCAGCACGTGCAAAAGTCCAGGAGCTTTTGCCATCGAAAGGAGCCATCTTATTTCGTGGCCTTCCCCTATCGACATTTTCAGAGGCAAGTGATTTCATTGCGGCCTTCGGCTACACCATGTACCCTGACCCAAGTGGTCGAGAGAAAGTGGCAAACAATCTTGCCCACTCCTCACTTGCAGTTCCACCCTCTTTCAACATATGCCCACATCAGGAGCACATAGTGAGTCACCGGCCGCCCACGAAGCTCTTGCTCTTCGCCCACAAGCCGTCCAAGGTTGGAGGCGAGATGCCCCTTTGCAAGGCTTCTGATGTTTGGACTTCGCTGCCACTGAAAGTGAGAGAGCAGCTTTCCAAGAGGGGAGTGAGATTCCTCATGGTACGCACGAACGCCAACTCCTCGGCAAGCAATATCTCTGCATCCCGAACGTGGCAAGAGCACTGGCAGACGCAAGATGTGTCTACGGCCAGAAGGCTGGCCGCAGAGCAATTTCCGGGCATGGTCACCGTGGATGAGCATCAAACCATTTACGTGAGGAGTCCACGCCTTGAAGCGTACAAGGAGTCAGAAGGCATTACATACTATAGGACACAGCTGCAAAACATGTACTCTCTCAATTGGTTCTGGGGAGATTCAGATGAACGCATCAACAATGAGATCTTGGAAGAGATCATGGGCGCTGTTTGGTCTCCTTGTGTGGTGTTCACATGGCAGGCCGGTGTTGTCGAACATGAATCAGCAGCCACCACCCTGCGTTGCCCCTGCGCTCCAATCCTGGAGCTTTGACTAAAGTTGACATCTCAAACTCATGCTTATTCTGTTTTATTGTCAAATTTCTGACGGACCAACATAAAAGAATCTATTTTTTGTCCGCTTGCTTGGGTGCATTCAGGGTCAGTTCTAGCTGAGGCATCTTACATGGTTGCTGCTGGTGCTGCTCCTGCTCCTGATGCTGCGATAGTTGGTTCCTTGATTGGTCAGTTGGTTGGTTGGTTGGTCGGTCTTGGTATGCTAGTTGTGATGTTGAGTTTTCAACTGGTCTTTTTGACCGTTCGGCGGTTGACACTTACGTATAGCATGCTGCCTACAACAAGCATATTCTTTCAGCTGCCATTGTGGTTATGCTATCACTGTTGTCATCACTGCTGCCATTGTGGTTAGTTCTACGGTCACTGCAGCCATCACTGCTGCTTCCGCTTCCATACCTAGCTGTTGTTGTTGCTGCTGCCTGCGCCAAGGCTATCGCTGGTGTTTTTCTCAACTTAGCCAACAGTTACAGTTATGTTATAGATTTGCAACAGTCTCGCAGCATTTCGCTTCACGTTCATTGTGATGGTTTGTGTTGGAATTAGGATTGAAGGGAGCCGGAGCCAAAGTCAACACTTGACACTTGCAGTCTGCGGAATTTTACGCCTCATGCCAATGGCTGTTGTTGTGTTAAACCTCATCGACTCTTAGGGGTTCAGAAGTTGGACTTTGCAAGGCTGGAGATCTTCTGCTGATCGACAACGAAAAGGTTTTGCATGGTCGACTGAGCTATGAAGGGGAACGGTCCATGGCAGTCGCCCTGGCCAGCGACTGAGAAAGCGTGACAATACAGTGGTTTCAGAATAGATGGATGGCACCAACCCAAAGATGTCTTTTACATGGGGGTCCATAAAAACCACCTTTAGGATCCTTTTGGGAATGGTGCCATCGACTCTGAAACCACTTTAATTGACCATAGTATGGTCGAGAATGCCTCCATGGCGGTAGACCTCGGCTTTAGGTCTTGCCCAATGAATACATGCTTATGAACGTTTGCATCTCCACATTTAAGTGGATGCGTGGCCAATGCAGAACAAACATAGTTCTGCAATTCCGATGTACTTGTGCACCTTTTCTTAAGAACCATCCAGCACTGATGCATTGATCAGCGCATATTGAAGGCTGAAGACTTAGCTGCGCACTTTGCTGTCCCAAGACAACTTGTTTGCTAAAACTCTCAGGGGCAGCCGTTGCGGCGGCGCAAGCTGGTGGCGCTTGAAGC